TTTATGAGTCGCCTATTCACCTGGCGGTGGTTTCTTCGTTGAGAAATTTAATTTAATTGTTTCAAAATTCAGTCATTCCTAAAGTGATATGCATGTTACTAAATGATATATATATATATATATATATATATATATACTACAGGTAACTAATCCCGAAGACATCTGTTCCCTGCTGTTCACAACCTCCACCGAGTTATCTTTGTCAAGCAAAGCTTTAAGGTAGCTCAGCTTCAAGATACTTGTAAGTCAGAATGCATTCAGATGATATATTGATAACGTCAGGACTAGCTGTCATAAACCACAATTAATTGAAGTAGGTTTCAAATTATTTACTTTCATACTTCTAAAAATCCAGTCAATTATAGTTAGTAACCAAACCAAATGGTCAACTGAATACAACGTCAGAGGTTAATATTTTTTGCCTGAAGGATGTCTTGAATGGATACAGCTCTTATATTCCTATTGTTTAAAGTATATTTGAAACAAATTTGTAAAACAAACTAACCCCGAAAAGGATACAATTGACAGATTTTTAAGACAAATGTTGTAGCTATCTTTTCATCTACCCATGCCTATAAATTTTTTCTTCGGACTTGGAAAAGCAAATTATTTAGAATCTTTTCAATTCCGCCAATTTTAAAGATCCCCACACTCCTATAGATCATTTCTAATCAAAATTTTACTTGTACAATTGAATTTTCTGCTTCACCCCGATTTAGGTTTGCTATTGTAGCGGATTGCTACGCTAGTAAAGCCTGACTGACTCAGAAATCTCTATGGCAGATCCTCCTACATCTAGCTAGACTCCCAGAACCAGCTAAGCTATAGCCTAGCTATAAGGGAAACTCATCTAGCTAGACTCCCAGAACCAACTAAGCTATAGCCCACATCTAGCTAGACTCCCAGAACCAGCTAAGCTATACCCCAGCTACAGCTAGACTCCCAGACCAGCTAAGCTATAGCCCAGCTATAAAGGAAACAGACGTGTTGCCTAGACTCCCAGAACAAGCTAACCTATAGCCCAGCTATAAGGGAAGAGACGTGTAGCACGGAGCACGTTTATTCAGTGGGTATATGACGGATAAAGTGTACACGCATCTATTCACCTCAGATCAGGATGGGGGATTAGGTTAAACAGAGGTTGATGATTGATCACCAGGATGGGGGTTTAGGTTAAACAGAGGTTAATGATTGGTCACTGTTTGTACGATCGCGGTTAAACAGAGGTTAATGATTGGTCACTGTTTGTACGGCGCACCTCCCAATCCTGGCGTGCAGGCATACGATGACGTGTCCCACACTATGCTGGTTGAATAACTTGGATTGATTACGAGATTTGTGAAAATGTGATATTTCAACTGCTTTATTAATTAGTGAGCTAAGAGCTTCTCGTTGAAAACAAAATCGCTAAACCTGATTTTTCTCTTTTTATAAGAGGCGAGTAGAACTGGATGTCCACATTGAAAAAAGTAGTAAATCAAGAATATTACGAATATGAATATACTGAGCATTCAGTAATTCACAGTATAGATTTCAAGTATTTGCCGTGAACTATGATTCACAAAGCAAAAGGTCTCAGCATGTCTTTGGAAACTTTGATCAAATTGTTCAGTGTACTTTCCACAATCCTATTGTGAATTTTCAATTTTAACCCTTTAATTTTGATCGGGTTAGTATAGCACATTTAAACCTTTAAATTGCCCCACTAATAACTTAGCAAGTAGACAGCTTGGACAATCTCGGGAGTTATAAACGTGCGGAACTTTAATTCGAGCCTTCGGGTGTGCGATAGACTTACCTCCACGTGGAGCACCCTGGGCAACGTATACTCATACGGCAAAAAAGTCTATTAACTGGCGATTGACATCTGACTTCATACTACCATCACCCCACTGTATGTCATTGTTGACTTCTTCCCCGGTGCTCACCTCACCTTTTATCCACCTTTTCTACCTTTGTCTTTGAAACACTCTTCTGTTCCCCCTCCTCCCTCTAGACTTTTTCACGTTGATGTACCTTCCCCTTTGTGAAGCCTGAAGTCAACTAAAGGACTATTGATAACCATCAAAACGCCTGCCATTTGTCATAGACTTAGCAAGTAGACAGCTGGGACTATCTCTGGAGACATAAAGGTGCAGAACTTTAATCTCATTTCCAAAAGCTTAATGGCCGTATGCTATTGAAATCCATGAAATCCATTTTACTAAAAACATTTGAAACCTCTTTCTTTCTCTCCGCCAATTGCGCCATGAAAACTTTATAATAGTTATGTTAGAATCACGTCAGTGGTGCCCACAATCGGTTCAGCTGAAATTGTAAACTAGAGCCTATTTAATTTAACATAATGTAGAGGCGCATCGGAATGATCCTGGGATTGTTTGATGAAAAATGGGAGTGCTTTGAGTGCCCATGTACGCTCAAAAGTTGGAACCATGCTTCACCTTTGGTAAAATAAAGATCTGGAACCAGATAACCATCAGCGAAATAAATGAGTGAACATTGGCGATNGCGTTTCATGCAGAAATAGTTAAGCACGGTACCAAATTATGACTGACCGCCTTCACTAGAGGTCGCATTTCTCTCAGATTTCTTGCAAGCCAAATGAATAATCAAATCTCCTTCGCAGCATTTGATGTGTTGCAACAAATGGTCGTTGTCTTCGCGATTATGGTAAAGAAATCTCTATTTCGATTTTGGGAGGAATAGAAGTTTCAATTGGAATTTTATCATAACGAGCATTGTCAATCTACAATCGGGGCCAATAGTTTAGGATATAGTGAAATTCGCATCCTCATCTGCAAAGCTTTAATTAAATCAATTTCCTATTTAATTCTGAGCAGAGAAATCTACTTTTTGCTTCTATTTATTACGAATGTACACTTCCTTCACTTTACTTCGACCCCCATAGTTCCTGAATTTCAGCGTCCACATTATATATTCCCCCCCCTCCCCGAAGTTAGTTTCCATTTCCCATGCTCAGCCGGAAATAACGTTTTTATGTTATTTTTGACTTAGAATTGTACTGAGGTTTGAATCAGTAGCAATGTATGCATTGTAAATGGTTCTTTTTTCGTAGAGTTCTTGCATGTCTTAAAACGAGAGAAAATGAACCCAAAACCCCTCCCTTATAGTTCTTTAAATGGATAAAAGGAGCTTGATTTAGCCCTTATCAATATTTAGTAACCAGGGGTGTGCGATAGACTTACCTCCACATGGTGCACCCTGGGCAACGTATACTCATACGGCAAAAAAGTCTATTAACCGGCATTTGACTTCTGACTTCAAACTACCACGACCCCCCTGGTTGTCATATTTGACCCTTTCCACAGTACTCACCTCACCTATTTCTCTACCTTTGTGTCTGTCTACCTCTTTTACGCCTGTGAATCGCTCTTCTGTTCCCCACACCTCGACTTTCTGCTACTTTGATGAACCTTCCCTCTGTGAAGCCCGAAGTCAGCTAAATGGCTAATGATATCTATCAAAACGCCTGCCATTTGAAATAAATAAATAAATAAAACATTTTAGATAATTTAATAAGCTTACTTTCTCACAAGGAGAGGAGTGGGTTTGATATGGCGAAAGAAAAAAGCAAATATTCCTTTGTTTATATTTATCAATATAAGGATGCAAATTACAGCTACGCAGTGGTTCAGTTTTTAGCTTTTCAGATTCCACCTATTTTTCAAAAATATCGCGAGCACCTAGTAAATTTATTTTTTTGTGTTTGAAATGCGAATTTATATCTCATTTATTTCTTGCGCCTGAATGCTTCTCATGAAACTACCATTAACATAAGTTAAAAAATCAATAATTTTAATTCCCAACTGAAAATACCCCGAAAGAGATCATCGATTGGCATCCTGCTTTGTAGTGGATTGAAACACTAGTAAAGCCTTTCCTGACTTAGAAATCTCTGTGGCCAATTCTCAGATATCCAGCTAGACTCCCAGAACTAGCTAAGCTACTGTCCAGTTATAGAAAAAGCAGACGTATTGCACGGAACACGTCCATTCAAGAAGTATACAAGTGACAAAAGTGTACACGCCATAAGATTGATGATAATCAACATGGTGGATCCGATGGAACGAACGAAGGCTTCTGATTGGCCATTGGTTTTGTGAGCATGTGATCACGCGTTAGGCGGTGAAGTGTCCCAATGCTTAGTATTGATAAAACCACTAATTAATATCGGTTTAATTGGCGAATACACTTGGTTTCCTAGGAACTTTAACATCAAGGAATGAAGCACAGCTCTTTTCGTCGGAGGCAAATTACTGCGGATCGTAGTGGACGCACTTTCTAAAAACGTCACATTGAGAGCAACAGTTGGAGTTATTTCAGAGCTCTTATCAACTTCCAGACCACTTATCCACCAGATTCCGGGTGTTAAAAGTTACCGGTCGAACTATTATTGCATATAGTTGTACTAATAAAATGTTAATTTGTTTGATTCACTTGAGATAATGTAGCTAATATCTCGAATGGCGATAATATGAAGCATCTAGCATAATGTAAGCGATAATGGAAATAAGCTATAAGCAATATAAGAATTACCATAAATTAGATTAGGCAATCTATTATTAACGCTTCAAATTTTAAATTAACACCTTTGAGCTGGATTTTCACAATAAGTTAACTGGTAAATTACATTGGGAATGAATTGAAAAGAAATAGGTAAATAAAAAATATAATTTACATTCAGTTCTGTTTATCGATTCGGAAAGCGTTCAAAACACATGGAAAATGATAGTTTATGGAACAATTATCGAAATATATTTAAAACTTTAATAAGCTTGCCAATTCTACGATTTAATTAGATTTGAATATATTTTATAATAAAATATAAATTATATGCTATGTAATTAACGCATGCATGTATAAATTAAGTGAATGAATTTCGTTATGCAGTCTTTATAGTGGTATTTTCTAAGTGATTTTTGTTTATATGAATCGAGGATTAAGAGTTCTCTAATGTCAATTTTCTCAATTTCCCGGTAATGGCAGCACCATTTCAAGATAATCAATGTACCGAATCAGCTCGTTCTTATCCACCTTCTGAATGGTGTCTCCCGACATCTTGCAGGTAAGTTAGGCTGTTAAGTGAGCAATTGTAACGCGAATGCACCTTTAGTGTCATTCATGCTGTGTCTCAGGACAATGCTCAACAAAATCAATATGGAGAAACACAGAACTACGCATCAAGTCGACTCCAAATGCTTAATGAAACCTTGCCTTCTCTGCATCAGGAAAATAAAAGCTCGATGGACCCAGTAAGCACATGTCAAAGTTTGCTACAATATGCACGTGAGGCGGATGATCGAATGAAGGAGGTGCTGCTTGCAAGGCTAACTCCACAAGTTAAGCCCTATTTGATGGGATATGTGTCACAGTTCACAAGCGTTCAACTTGTCCATGCAGCAACTATCGTTCATTCGGGGTTATTTGGTGATCGCGTCTATATTCCGTTTACAGTTGATTCAATTTCAGGTATAAGATTTTGCGTTGATACGGGAAGTGCCATTTCTACCTTTCCCGCGTCGCTTGTGGGGCGAAGATTTCATTCCGCTATTGCTTGCATAGAGCCCCCAACGGGAGCGAACATTATGGCATATGGATTAAAACACCTAACGCTGAATTTGGGAGATGGAGAATTAAGAACTTTTCCATTTTTCATAGCAGACATCGAAATGCCACTAATCGGTTCTGATTTCTTATCCTACTTCGATCTGGTTGTTGACTTTAAGAAAAAAGAAATAAGAAAATACCAATCGCCACATGCGTTGCGCAATGTTTTTATTGGGAAAAGATGGTGTCCACCAACGATTTCTGACTTCATGTTAAGATTTATGCATTCCTATCTGGATGGCTGTGAAAAACCGTCAGATATACTTCGCCTATTGCTTGATATATTTTCGGAAGAATGTATGCAAAGAGAGTCGTTCCTAACATTATTCCTTAACCTTCTCCCCCACCCAATTCAACAAAATTTGATAAGTGGCACTCTGTACTCTGATACACTCCTAAGCCTTGTAGTAGAGGCGGACGCCATCTATGATGACTTACACCGTAGAACAAAACATTGTCTTTACGTTACTGATCCGAATTCTGGTTTTGAATTTCTGATTGATTCTGGAGCTAACCTATCACAAATCCCACGTCTACCTCACGAATTACTAACACCACTTCCTTTCTATCGATTGAGGTCTGCAAACGGACATCCTATCACGGAATATGGTTATAAGCAACTAAACGTAGACTTGGGGTTGGATATCGTTTTTCCGTGGAATTTCCTCATAACAAATATTAGGCTTCCTGTCATTGGTGCCGACTTCTTGGATCATTTCAATATTCAAATCGATTTAAGAAGAAAGCGATTAGTACTAGACCATTCATAATATGTATATATACATATCAACTTGCTGTGGAGACATTCAATACCAGAATGGATAGATATTGATCAGTAATAGCTTGAACTACCAATTTTTTTAGATATTTACAGACTACTTTCTACAGTGAATCGTGTTGAGCTCTTTAGATTGGTATATTATTGAATTTCTTGATTTGTGTTTGCCTATTTTACTCCCCAATACATTTTTACATTCTTGGTTAACATTCTTTTTTTCAATGCGTGCGTCAGTGGTTTGGTAATCAAAATTTTTATTTATTTATTAATTGCTGGTGAGGTAACCGGCTGGCCTGTGCTCCAATTTGCAATCACCTGACTATTTTCATGATCTTTTACAAAGTGATTGGAATTCATACGACGAAAATTTACTTTTGCAGATTTGAATTTAAACTATGAAAGAATTATTGCGGTGTTGTCTTTTTCTTTTTCGAAAAATTTATCTCTTTTTGTGCACATTTGAGGGTGGGTGCTTCGAAAATATTAGGGCCCTTGTTGGCGCAAAGAGGATTTTCAAAACGTCAGTGACATGTTTTGCGGGTATTAATGAGGTTATTCTGAAGGCAAAGGGGTCATTTAAGGTACATTGCCTTAACATACTTGTTCTCACGCCTATAATAATACTCGAATTAAAATATTGATCTTCATCCTCTATGGATATTTCGTTGACACTGTCGGTCATTCATTTAGTTTGACGTGGTTGATAGGGAGAGTCAGAAGTTCGTACCCATTTCAATTTCCACTCGAATCAGATGGAGCAATTTCAAGCATTCTATGCATTCCTTCAAATATTGCATACTTTTTCATTGTTTTATCTATATATATTTATTTATATCAAATGGCAGGCGGTTTGATGGTTATCGTTTCCCCTTTAGTTGACTTCAGGTTTCACAGAGGGAGAGGAACATCAAAGTGACAAAAAGTTAAGAAGGGGGGGGAATAGAAGAGTGCTTCAAAGACGAAGATAGAAAAAGGTGAGATGAGTACCGTGAAAGTAGTCAAATATGACATACAGTGGGATGATGGTACTTTGAAGTCGTAGGTCAACTGCCGGTTAATAGACTTTTTTGCCGTATGAGTATACGTTGCCCAGGGTGCACCACGTGGAGGTAAGTCTATCGCATACCGCGTTTCAGCTATATATATATATATATATATATATATATATATATATATATATATATATATATATATATAGGTATTAAAAATGACATTTGTCACCTGAGGCTGTTCATACAAATATTTATTTATGTTAATCTTCATTAGCCCTTTAGATGATTTCAGGCTTCACGGAGGAGAGGAACATCAAAGTGAGAAAAAGTAGAGCGATGAAACAGAAGAGTGATTCACAGACATAAAAGAGACAGACAGACAGAAACAAAGGTAGAGAAAAAGGTAAGATGATGTGAGTACTGGGGAAGTGATCGAATATGACATACAATTGGGTCATGGTGTTTTACCATATGAGTATATGTCTATCGTGCAGTCATATTTTCCAATATCTTTAAACGGACTAAGATATTTGGGTAAGAATAACGAGGTTTAAGCAACTTTTCTACCGTTCAGTTCATCTGCCTGAATTCCTTACACAAGTGAAACTGCACGAATTAGCCATCATGCATATTTACCTTCAGTTCGCTATTAACAACTACCGAAGGCTTAAATTGAACTCTTGGGTCATCAATCTGTTTGATTAGCATTCAGTTAAAGGGCGCTCCCTGATGGCTTTGTTCAAGGCATATTTTAAATGGGCCAATCTCCTTACGAATCATACTTACAGGCAGGCACTACTTTTCTATCCAAGTATGCTTGTGTGCAATTGTATTATCATGACGTATTGTAGAGATCAAATAAGCCATCAACTACTTGCGATAAGGCAATGAAACTGTAGCGGATTGCTACTTTATTTAAGCCTGACTGACTCAGAAATCTCTATGGCAAATTCTCCAACATCTAGCTAGACTCCCAGAACCAGCTAAGCTATAGCCCAGCTATGAAAGGAAACAGACGTGTAGCACGGAGCACGTTTATTCAGTACGGGTATTGCGGATAAAAAGTGTACACGCAGGGAGCTTAATCAGATCAAGATGACGGTTTAGGTTAAACAAACAGAGGTTAATGAATGGCCACTGTTTGTACGGTCGCACCTCCCAATCCTGTCGTGCAGGCATGCGATGACGTGTCCCACAAAACTATGCCA